ATTTATTGTACCAAACCTCTGAGGCTCGCACCACAGCTGGATTTATTGTACCAAACCTCTGAGGCTCACACCACAGCTGGATTTATTGTACCTAACCTCTGAGGCTCGCACCACAGCTGGATTCATACTGAGATTAAACAACAAGGTGGACATGATTTACTAGAGTGTGACGGTACGCCTGAGTCACGGTTCGGTACGAGTCAGACAATGACAAGAATCAAATGCTAGTTCTATTCATTCTTTTTATTTCTATAGACAATGATTCTCCCAGAAGCAGAAACAAAAACAATCATAAAAAAGTATGTTTGTATCAAAGTTTTCTTTTCTCTTTGTTTGTTTGTAGTTTTGGACATGAATGTTTTTCTGGACTGGAACTGAACAAGGAATTCAAGTAAACCTTAATGTTTTTTGTTCTGGTGGGTAGAAGTTACACCGTGGAGAAGAACAGACCGTTTCTTTAAGAGAGGGGGTGGCCAAAGGTGGCCTTGACCACTTTAGATTAATTTTTGGCCACCCCAATCATTTGAGGAAACTATACTTGTAAATTAAATTCAGTTCAATTCAGTTTATTTATAAAGGACCAAGTCACAACAGAATCGTCTCAGGGACTGAACAGAAACATTCAAATATAAAATAACAATTTAACAGAAACATTAATATATAAAAATAATAATTGAACAGAAACATTCATGTATAAAATAATAATTTAACAGAAACATTAATATATAAAAATAATAATTGAACAGAAACATTCATGTATAAAATAATAATTGAACATTATTTATCTGAGGAGCAGCTTTGAGTTTAACTCCATCACTGAACTCTCATGTTGAACAAGCATGAAGGCGACAGTGGAAAGAAAAACTCCCTCATGAGGAAGAAACCTTTAGCAGAACCAGGATCAGGACTAGAGGACCATCTGCTTCGACCGGCTGGGTTTGGTAGGAATAGATACACAATGGCAGGTCCAGAATCACATGTTGAGATAGAAATAGTATCAAATGAAAACTATTCAATTTTAACAATCCATTTAAGGAAATGAGGTCAATTAGTCCTCCAGTAGTCTAAGTCTATAGCAGCATAACAAGCCGACCCTAACTATAGGATTTATCCAAAAGGAAAGTCTTAATCCCAGTCTTCAAACTGGACAATGTGTCAGCCTCACGGACAGAAACTGGAAGTTGGTTCCACAAGAGAGGAGCCTGAGAACTGAAAGATCTTCCTCCCATTCTGCTGCTGGAAACTCTAGGAACCACAAGTAAACCAGCAGTCTGACAGCAAAGTGCTCTGTTAGGAAAATATGGAACAATAAGATCTGTAATATAAGATGGAGCTAGGTTGTTGAGAGCTTTGTAGGTTTAAGCAAAAATAAAACTAGAAATGATAGTTTCCTCAAATGACGGGGTAATCAGTTTACTTTTATTAATCTTTATGTTACCAGAAGAAACTCAGTGAGATTATAATTTTCATTTTCCATCCATCCATCCATCCATCCATCCATCCATCCATCCATCCATCCGTCTGTGCATGTTGTGAGCATGATGACTTGGAAAATAGTTTCCATGCTGGTGTGAGGCTGCGTCTAGACCAAAGAAAGTTCACCATCAAAAACTGGGTTGCCATGTCAAAGTGGATGGATGGATGGATGGATGGATGGAGAGTGGTGCTAGTTCTCCCTCTTCGCTCCATGACGGGGGGGACAATAAAGAACACTCCTCAGGATGAGCGTGGTGACAGATTGTGACCGAGGTATTTATCATCTGGTTTAGTCTAACCAGGTCGAGTCAGGTCCTCTGGACAGATTCTTCTCTGTTGAAACGTTTTGTCTTTTATCCAAAATACTTCTTCAGTCTGACTCGACCTTGTTAGATTCTTCTACCTGGATCTTTCAGCATGCATCAGCCGTCTGGTTTGATTATTTGTCTGAGACATCTGTTCCATGATGGTTCCATAAAAATACATGTACTAATTAAACTTCAGTTTCCTTCCACTTCTCAGTTATGTGCTGCGTTGTGTTGGTCTTTCACATAAAACCAGGTATCATCAAAGTAAAAAATGTAGAAAAGTTAAAGGGGTATAAAGATGTTTTTCAAGGCACGGTAACATTAGTGGAGTATATATACTTTTAAATGTTCTTTCATTGTAGATGTCTCTATGCTTTACTACACACCACAATAATCTGAACAATCACTCTAAAACCACATTTGCTCATGTGAAAATTAATCTTCAAGAAGGAGAAGTCCTCCAAAAGAGTTATTAGAAAACTGCATGAGCTCAACGTTTGCAGGTTAACAGAACAACTTGTCGTCAACTTTACTTTTTAAAATACTTTTCAAATGCAGCTTCCCCTCGTTCACATATATTGATTTCAACATATGAAATATACTGTACCAAATGATTTCTAGACAATAGCTTTACAAAATCATCCAGCTGTTTTTACAAGATGTTCAATTTTACCCACCAGGGACAATGGTGGAGCCAGGGGGTGGCTGATGGTGGCCTTGGCCTCCATGGATTAAACTTTAGGCCACCCCAGTCATTTGAGGCAACTATATTTTTAAACTATGTAAAAATTAAAAAGCAAAGCGCAATGATTGGGGTGGCCAGTTTACATATTTTTAGATCGTCATCTTGGATTTTGATGTGGTAACAATTTTTGGAGGGAACCTTCTTATGCCTAGATGCCGCCGCCCACCTAAATTGAAGTTATCTATCACTTATTTTGTTTAATTATTGTGCTCACAACATCCATGTACAGACGGCTGGACAGAGGTTATTTCCAATTCCCCCTTTTGCTTCAGGACAATCAAAGATAAATTAGACAAAATAAATGTTCTGAGTTTTATGTGGTACATCTGCAAGGCTGAGGGGCTTGAGCTTCTAAGGTTTCTTTCATACCTGACACTGGTGCTGCAGCTTCTTTGTGAGCCGTCCCACGATATAGATCTGAGAGGGAGGGAGGCCAACAGAAGTGTACACAGAGATGTCCTTGTTGGAGCCATACGCTGCAAAGATCCTCATGTGGGCCTAAAACAACACGTCAGATTTATAAAGACTAAAAGCATTCTGCTGCAGCACCGACTCACACTTACTGCTGTTACCTCGCTGATGAGCGTTTTGAGGAAGTTGGTCTTGTGTCTGAGAGGGTCGTGGACCAGTCCGTCACAAAACGAGACAACGCCGTGTGGAAAGTTATGCTGAGAGAGCCAGGCCACCACACGCTGCTTCTGCATGTCAGGACGACCGGTGACATACACAATCAGGTAGCCCAAGTCCTGCCAGAACCTGAATTACAGAGCGGAATGTGAGGTTGTGTGGATAATCTGTCGAGTTAAGAATAAAACGTTTGTACTGCAAGCTTTTAAGGTTGTTGTAATTGAAACTAAAAAATAACTGATCTTTTGGGAGCTCTGGCCAATGATGGATCTAAATCTAATAGGATTCCAGCAACACGTTGACTTTCCCATTTCCAAGTGTCACATTCTGGATCTAACCTGCTGCTCTGGTCTCAACCCAGTCAATGATGGATCCGATGAACTCCCCATAACTGACCATTTGCTCCTCTCCTCTAATATCAGACTCATCCTCTCATCAATTAGGCCTTGCCATGTGACCCCCCCGTTGCATAATGTTCTGTCATGACTGTTGTCCTCCTTCAATCGCTGCCTTAGCGTGGTGGAGGAGGTTGTGCGCCTGAATGATCCTAGGAGTTCTGCTGTCGGGGACAATTGTAATGGCCCCTGGTAGAGTCTCCCAAGGCAGATTGGTTCTAGGTGACAGACAAAGAGCGATTCAGAAGACTTTTGATGGACAATAAAAACAAGGAGCTCAGTGTCCCTTGCCCAGATGTGGGTTACCGGAGCCCCACCCTGGAGCCAGGACTGGGGAAGGGGCTTGTCGGCGAGCGCCTGGTGAGCAGGTCTCTACCCATGGGGCCCGGTCAGGCTCAGTCCAAACAAGTAACATGGGTTTGCCTTCCTGTGGGCCCACCACCTGCAGGAGGGGCCATGAGTCGGGTGCATGACTCCATGGGCAGTGGCTGAAGGCGGGGGCTTGGCGCTCTGACCCTGGCTTACCAAAGCTGCTCTTGGGACATGGAACATGACCTCTCTGGTGGGTAAGGAGCCTGAGCTTGTGCGTGAGGTTGGGAGGTACAAACTAGATCTAGTTGGGCTCACCTCGACACACGGCATGGACTCTGGAACAAATCTCCCTGACAGGGACTGGACCTTATTCCACTCTGGAGTTGCCCATGGTGATAGGCACCGAGCTGGAGTGGGTCTACTCTTAGCCCCCCAACTTGGTGCCTGTGTGTTGGAGTTTTCTCTGGTAGATGAGAGGGTGGCTTCCCTGCGCGTTAGGGTGGGGGGGGGACAGGCTCTGACTGTTGTTTGTGCCTACGATCCAAATAGCAGTTCAGAGTATCCGGCCTTCTTGGAGTCCTTGGCGGGGTGCTGGAAGGTGCATCAGCTGGGGATTCCTTTATTCTGCTGGGGGACTATTTTGTTATTCTCATCACATGTGGTACATGTGAAGGAACAAAGCTGTGTACACAGGCCGTGTTTCTCAAGGTACACTGTGGGGGGTGCTCCATGAGTACGTGATTGGGGTCCGTTGCTAAGGGCTGTTTGGTCTCTATACAAGCGGTGCAAGAGTTTGGTTCGCATTGCCGGCAGTATGCCGGACCTTTCAGGGTGGAAGCTGGCCTCCACCAGGGCTGCCTGTCGTCATCAATTCTGTTCATAACTTTTATGGACAGAATTTCTCAGTGCAGTCAGAGGGCGGAGTCCAGTTCGGTGGCCTCGGGATTCCATCTTTGCTCTTTGCTGATGATGTGGTCCTGTTGGCATCATCGTGCCGTGATCTTCAGATCTCACTGCAGCGGTTCACAGCTGAGTGTGAAGCAGCTGGGATGAGAACCAGCACCTCCAAATCTGAGGCCATGGTCCTCAGTCAGAAAAGGGTGGATTGTTCTCTTCAGGTTGAGGGTGAGGTTCTGCCTCAAGTTCAAGTATCTCAGGGTTTTGCTCACAGTGAAAGAAGAACGGAGCGTGAGATTGACAGATGGATTGGTGCAGTGTCTGCAGTTTTGTGGACTCTGTGCCGGTTCGTTGTGGCAAAGACGGAGCTGAGCTGTAAGACAAAGCTCTCTGTTTACTGGTCGGTCTACGTTCCTCCCCTCACCTCTGGTCATGAACTCTGGTAGAGACTGAAAGAATGAGATCATGGATCCAGGAGGTTGAAATGAGTTTCCTCTGCAGGAGCTGGACTCTCCCTCAGAGACAGGGTGAGAAGTTCAGTTATCAGGAGAGACTCGGAGGAGAACCACTGCTCCTCCACATCCAGAGGAGACAGTTGAGGTGGTTTGGGCATCTGGTAAGGATGCTCCCTGGGTGCCTCCATTGGGAGGTGCTTCGGGCATGTCCGACTGGGAGGAGACCCCAGGGAAGACCCAGGATACGCTGGAGAGACTATGTTTCTCGAATGGCCTGGGAACACCTTGGAATCTTCCCAGAAGATCTGGAAGAGGTAGCTGTGGAGAGAGAAGTCTGGACCTCCCTGCTCAAGATGCTGCCCCTGAGACCTGACTTTGGACCAATCGGAAGATGATGGATGGATGATTGTTGTTGTGAACTGGCACTGAACAGTATTATGAATAAACTGAAGTGAATACGATGCGTTAAGTGTTTTACTTACCGCACCACATCCACAGCTCCAGCTCGAACTTTGGGGTCACTTCCCATTATGGACACACTGGCAGCAAATGATCCATCAATGCTGAAAACCACAAACTCTGTCCCTTTGGGTACGACTGTAAGATGACTGTCAGCATATGTATGGTCACCTCTGTTACAGAACAAACCAAGTAAAGCAGCAGAGATTAAGAAAAAGAGCACTGGCTGTTTTGGAGGAGAAGGGATGAGGGTTTTGAAAACAGCAAACCTGACAACCATTTTGACCGGATACACTCCGATACCCAGCCGTTTGCTCTCCGGGATCACGTAAGAAACACGCCCACTGCTGTTCGTAAGCTCTGTGTGAAAGTACACCCACTCTCCAGAGGGAGGCTGGGTCATGATGTGAATGTCAATCTGCAGAAGAATTACACGTTTCAGTGCTTCATTCCCTCTGTGAACAGTTATTACATACAGTAATGACTCAGTCTGCACCTTCTCTCCAGTGAGAGTGACCATGTCCAAAGGGCCATACATGAACCGTCCGGTCACTGTCTGCACCCCGTCCTCCGTGAACACGGCATCATTCGCACGGTGGTTAGCGGTCACGTTCTGGGAAAAAAACATAATGGATTGTTCCAAAGAATTAATAAACAAGCAACGTCACCCCTCGGTGAAAGATTGGAACAGTGACTGGTTGTAGTTGTTCAGATGAATGGTTTTCTGGACTGAAGTTGAACAGTTTGCTCAAATGACCGGGGCGGCCGAAGATTAACCTACGGTGGCCAAGGCCACCGTGCATTGTCTGGAGAAATGTTGAAGCATTTAAATGAAAAAATATCAAGTGGACTGTACTTATACAGCTCCTTTCTATCTAATCAAGATACTCAAAGCTCTTTACAACACAATCTGTGCCCTCATTTACCCAACAGCACTCTACTACACAACAAAAAGGGTTCAACCAGTTTCTTTACACACACATTCATACAGGTCTCTCTTGTAAATGAGTCCCCGAGGCTCAATGGGATTAACCTGAAGAAATAAAGGTTGAATGAATGAAAAAGGTTGGCTTGAACACAGCAGTGAAGGCTGCCTATGGGACAGATCTGGTTGACAGGCCGCAGACTGATGAAGTCTTCTGGATGGAAGACAAAACGTTTCTCCCTTAAAGAAACTGGTCCAGATGAAATTATTTAACCTTTTTTTGTTATATACCTGGATGATTGAGCCTGCAAACCTTATGTTGTTTAAGACATAATTAAAGAACAGAATTGGTTTCTATTCTGGCAGTATTAATTGCCTGGTGTCCCTGAACAAGTACAAAATAAATACATGTGCATAGTTTTGCCACAGTTGTTACAGGAATCATTTTGGTTGATAAGTTTATTCATGAGTTGGGATTTACGTGTTGACACTTGCAAGACCCACAAAGAACATCACTACGTCTGAACTGATCACCTTTATTCTCCATTCCTAACATTGTTTGATGGAAATGAATTAAAACAAACGGAAATCTCACTCGAATTTTGACGTGAGTCCTCTTACGAAGCCACTTTTCTCGAGGTATGGACGGAGTGAATTCAGACACCTCTTTGCCATCCAGCTCCAAAATACCGGAGTTCTCATGTCTCATCACCTGCAGGAGCCAAAAGAAGATTACATTGAAGAAATAATTAGGAACATTAAATTATATCTCTGCTTCATGCTTGGGCATATTCCACAACTATAAAACAGAGCTGGGCCAAAGGTGAAAATCATGAATTCTCTAGAGAATAATGTTTTTTGTGGCATATATAAATGTAAAGTAGCAGACAAGATTACCAGTAAACATTAAATTTCTGACTGCTGATGGATTTGAAAACTAAATATTTAAAAATGTAATTTCTATTAAATAGGATGTGAACATCTCAAAAACACAATCCTCTTAATGCATGTAGGAAACGTAAAAAATAAATAAATTAATACGAAACGGCAGCTCTAGAGTGATACTGCAGGAAGAAGGTGCAACGCAGGAAGAAAGGCAAGGCAGCAGTTTGTGTGCTGCGGTGGCAAACAGCCAGGGCGTTACAGACCCACTTTTATTATTTCTTCTTTCGGCTGCTCCTTCGTCTTCAGGGGTCGCCTCAGTGAACACAAAGACTTGGCTTTACACTGGATGTCCTTCCTGACTCAACCACAGACACTGAGCTACCACAGCCTCTGTGTGGAGCACAGCTCCATCTAGGACACCCAGGGGAGCAGATGGTGGGGGCTAAGGGCCTTGCTCAAGGGCCCAGAGTGGGGCGAATAAGGGTGGAGACAGGTGTAGGTGTTTGACCTTTCCCACGTTTTGATGCTGCCGGTCAGGGGAGTCGAACCAGCAACCTTCCAATCACAGGCCCACCTTCTGTAACCTCTGCACCACCACTCTCCACTTTAGAGACTCAATGACAGCTCAAGTATATATATTAAATGTAGGAAAAGTAATATTTTGATCACTTATTGTGGAAAAAGTGATTCCCATAACAACCAGGTGTAGGCTTCATCAGGTTTATTACAAATCTTTGGAGAACAGCCAGAAATCACAGAAGATCAATGCTTTTACAAGTTGACACTTATCAATGCCTTCATCTGTCCGAGGTTCTGACCCGTTCAGACCCGTTCTGACTTCCTGAACAGAAAAACATGAGTTTTGTAGAAACTTCCAGCTGCAGCCCCTCCCTGCCCTGTCTGACACGGTGAGTGCAAATCATACACACTCCCTCGACACACTTTCATTAAATAAAATTATCTGCTCGCTTGTTTACAATCTTTCTGTGATTTCAGTCCAGGTGGAGAATGTGAAATTATGAGTTGAAACCCACCAAATCAAACATTCTGTATATTGCGCTGGCAAAGGGTAAATGGTGGAAATCGTACCAGATTCTATTCAAACTAAATGCATGGTTTGATCAGTCAACTAGATTTAGAGCTGTGGGCATGATGATTACTTTACATGAAATGTACAGCTGGTTCGCTGCCTTCAGCTACAAGAAGAGAAGTGATATGGAACAGAAATTATTTTTTCAAGGCAACTGCTCAACAACAACTACTTTAACAAGAATACTGCACTGTACTGCATTATGTGCCTACATGTCTATCAACTGTTGTTCAGTTATCTTGAGCATGTCAGACGTTATGGTCTGAACAAGATAAGATCTTGTATAACCTTGATTTGTGACCTTGACGTTGCAGCCATTGGTACTGCAATATTAGGCTAGATGTGTTAGCACTCAGAGTCATGTTGAGGATGACTCTCAGCTACTTCAACATCAGACCTTACCAACAAACGCACAGAGACATGAGCAAAACATTACCGCTCTTTAGCCTTTGGCATCAGGCAAAAAATACATTTATTTCTGATCACAGTATTGATGGGCTTAAATGTTGCATGCTGGATTGTTATCAGCCACTGTTTAATGTACAAACCTGTCTGAGCAGGAACGAGACGACGTCTGTGGACTCCCAGTACGAGGCGTGGAAGAGATGAGGCAGAGCCACCGTTGGAAATGCTGTAAGAGCATCAGGACAGTACAGAGCGTAGTCCATCCTCTTACTGCCCCACCAGTGAGAGGCGACTGTGGCATTGGAGACAACAAACAATCAGAGCTTTCAGGATTTGTGATCTTTGATGTCAGGATGTGAGTGGGCTCTCTGAGTAATAAATGTACACAGGTTTGAAGCACACACTTCAGTCTCTGGACAAGACTTGTGCCGTTCGGTCCCCAGTCGCGATACGAAGAGGGGGAATTGGAAAAACTCCCGGTCCGTCTGTGCTGTGAACATAACTTGAACAACTAGAAGCACTCGGAGAGCGCACACCTCCACCAAGACGCTTGGCTCACTCATGCACTAACATCTTGTGCACAGACAGACAAGAATCTATTAAAACAATTCCTGGATCCGGTTGGTAATCAATCCATCCATCCATCCATCCATCCATCCATCCATCCATCCATCCACCCCTCCCTCCGTTTGTTCGTCCATCCTCTAGTTCTGGACTCAGGTCTGGGGGCAGCATCTTGAGCAGGGAGGTCCAGACATCTCTCTCCACAGCCTCTTCCAGCTCTTCTGGGAGGACTCCAAGGTGTTCCCAGACCAACACAGAGACGTAGTCTCTCCAGCGTGTCCTGGGTCTTCCCCGGGGTCTCCTCCCAGTCGGACATGCCTGACGCACCTCCCTAGGGAGGCACCCAGGGAGCATCCTTACCAGATGTCTGAACCACCTCAACTGTCTCCTCTGGATGTGGAGGAGCAGCAGTTCTCCTCCGAGTCTCTCCTGATAACTGAACTTCTCACCCTGTCTCTAAGGGAGAGTCCAGCTCCTGCAGAGGAAACTCATTTCAACCTCCTGGATCCACGATCTCATTCTTTCAGTCTCTACCAGAGTTCATGACCAGAGGTGAGGGGAGGAACGTAGACTGACCAGTAAACAGAGAGCTTTGTCTTACAGCTCAGCTCCCTCTTCACCATAAAAGCACCAACACAATTTTATCATTAGTTTTTTTGTAACAACCTCTACATTTCCTAAAAAATTATGAAAATCCATTCATAACTTTTTGAGCAATCTTGTGCACAGATGGACCGACAGACAAACCAGAAACATAACCTCCATAAACGAGGTTCTGACTTCACTTTTGGTATATGGCTGCATTTAGACTTAAGACAGGCCACCTTAGAAAATTGAGCTGCAACAGCAAAATCCAAGATGGCTGCCACCATAAATGTGCATACGCTACCCTCATGAGTTGAATATCATGAAAATAAGCAATGTGGTGCGGCCACGTCTAGGCATAAGAAATGTCACCATCAAAAATTGGGTTGCCATTTCTAAATCCAAGATGGCCACCAATATGGGTGGCCATCTTGGGCCAGATGGTGGCCCAATTAATGGCCACCAGATTCTGGCTGTTTTGCATATACCTCAGTGATTAAAGGAAACTACGCTTTCTAGGTATCCTGATGCATGCTCAATAATCCAGGTAGAAAAATCAAAAAAAGTTAAATCTGGTCCTCTGGACATTCAAAAAACAAAACAAAGCAAAACAAGAAAAATGTAGAAACAGTTCTACATTTTTTTGTTTTGCTTTGTTTTGTTTTATGAATGTCCAGAGGACCAGATTTAACTTTTTTAGATATGCTTTCTAGGGTTTTTTATTGCTTAACAGTATAGTTTCTTCAAATAATTGGGGTGGCTGAAGATTAATCTATGGTGGCCACCACTGGTCACCCCCTGGCGCCGCCGTTGCACCTGGTAGTGGATAAAACTGCTCCCTCCAATTAACAGCATCTGTCACTTTTTGCTGCTTCGGACAAGAAAAAAAAACCTCTATTCTTATACTCAGCACAACTCCTACCCACTTGAATATCGGCACCATAAACACTTAGCTTTACTTTCACTCCCTGTTATGTTATGTTGTGTGCCGTCCAGAAAAACATTCATATTGAAAACCTCAAACTTCCTAAATTCTAATCTCTCAGCATCAGCGACAGGGGACATTGGCGGATCACTTGTTTTCTTTAGTTTAAGCCATGAGACTTAGCCATGAGTTGAGTTGTGCAAGAAGAACCGGAGTCTTTCATGTAAATTCTAACAACAGGTCTACTGAGGAAGACTATCTGAGACAGGAGCCAGAAGACGAGGGACACGGAACAGGACACGAGGACAGAGCCTAGCATCCTTCACTCGTCCTCCTACAACTCTCAGGTTACCTTGCTTTCTGTTCTTCAGCACGGATGACTGGGGCACCAAGCTGATGTCCGTGATGTCAAATGTGACATTAGTGAGGTCAGAGGTTACATCAGAGCTAATGTCCGAGCTGTGCTCAGACTCCACACCGTCGGGTCTGGGAAACACCCGATGGGTTCTGCTGCAGGAGCGAATGCTTGGGCTCCGACAGGTAAACCTACAGTACGGTAGAGGGAGCTGTGACAGCAGGCGGGGCCGTTTATTGTGACTTACATCACATTTGTTTGCTGGAGTGGGGGCGTGTGGAGGGAGGAAATTAGAATGAACACATACACAGTCAGTTTTAAGACCAAAACTGTGGTCAGTACGAAGGGGTCAAATGTCGTCTTACTTGTGGCGATGTTGGTCGCTGTGAAAGAGTCGGCTAAGCCCGATGCCTGGCTGGTTATGCTGGCCTCACTAGCCCTGCGATGGCAACGAAGATGGTGAACACCTGGGGACGTGGAGGTTGGGCACTGTGCATCAACCATATGGGACTGAGGAGTTTCAGCTGAAAAAAAACAACAACAAAATAATAATAAATGGTTAAGCTGGAAAAAAAATGCCCCAAATCCAACATTTTGTGCATTCTTGCGCCCCAAATCAGTTTGGATGTGATAAATTCACGTGTTTCAAATCTGTCCCTGTTCATTTTCATTTGTGGTAGTTTCAGAGAGTTTTTGGTCAAAGGTTATGAATGTTTTTCTTGTGCTTTGTTATTACAGCTGAGAACATTTTCCCTTCTGCCCTGAGAACAAGCGACACGATCGTCTCCCAAAACACCCGAATTGTCTCTCTCTTATCTCGAACTGAAGGGACGCCCGTGCACCGTATTTGTGAAGACAAGGAGTGCCATGTGAGGGTGCAGCTGGGTTCAAGGACACCCACTGCACTATGTTGAACTCTGCTGAGATGATAATGTTATAAAAGATAACACGACTCATTTCTGTGACTGGGCTTCATGCGTATACATGTATGTATGTTCATGTATGCCTAGATGCAACCATACGCCAAAATGGAAGTCAGCACCTCACTTATTTTTTAAGTTTATGTTCACAACATCCATGTATGGACGAACGGACGGATGGTATTTCCAATTCCCCCTCTTCGCTCTGTGCTGTGACACAGGACAATAAACTAGGTGAAAGCCTAGAAAGCTGTTTTTTAAAATGTTTTAGAACTTTTTATTAACAACATATAAAGACAGAACACCGCTGCTGCTGTGGCTGCCAGTTCTCTCTCTCTTTTTTTT